AAATGCCATACCACAGGTGCAGACAACACAACAGACTGCTTCTTCTGCTCCAGTATAAATATCTATGAAAGATGGTTCACATATTGTAAACTATGTCTGTTTATTTGCCATCGCTTTCCAAACACATTTGTGTCATGGCAGCTACTGTTGTTGTATTAGTGGTATTTTTGTGTCTTTTTCTTTTCTTCTTTTTGTGTCCTGCTCTGCTGTGGGTGTTTCATCCTTCTGACTGCTGCCTTCTCACCTGCTCTGCTTCCATCGAACACCTGAAGCTGATCCATTAACCTCCTTCCACAGTATAAAAGCACCAGCTCTCCAATCGCTCTGCACCAGATCATCTTTCTGCTTCTTGTAGTCAAGCTTTCCAGCCATTTCCAAGTTTGCTCTGTTTGTGTTTACATGTTTTAGATATAAATCCCCTGTATGATCTGGGATATTGACCTCAGCCTTATCTCCGTTACAGATCTGTTTGCTAGTGTTTTCTGGTTTGGTTAACTCCTTTTGTATGACTTTTGCCAGCTCTTTTTTAAGACATTTGCCTGCATATTAAATGTTTGGATGTGGGTTGTTCTGCCTTTTGCCTGCTTCCTTAGTTGGATTTGTTGCCACACAGACTGATCATCTGTGTGATACCTTTGACTCACTTAATAAAGACTTTCAACTTTGGTTTTCTGTGTCCAGCTTTTGGGTCAAACTAAACACCAGGATAAGTTATGATTTAATTAACACAAATTTTCAATTCATGGAGGCAGAGAGGTGACTTTTTAAATATTGGTCAGAGCACTCTGATGAAGAGATTTCAATTTTGAAATAGTGTAATGTTAACATGTGATTGTCATGCAGATTATTATTATTATTATTATCATTATTTTGTTGGCAGATAATCAGGTCGTCGTACTCTCTAATGCACTAAATATTAGGATAAGACTTTATTCATTGCACAGTGGGGAAAATTTGCAGTGTTACAGCAGCAAAGGGGAAAGTGCAAACTGTAGGGAAAATCACTAGAAAAGAGAAACTACCAAAAATATACAGAAGTACTGATTCTTTCATGTGTAGATATTCAGATGCACAGAAAAAAAATCCCCAAATGTGGAATATAACATTGCACATATCAGTGGTATAGCACATATTCCTCCATAAGTAGAAATATTGATGGAAAAAAATACTGATATTGCACATATTCTTGTATATATAGAAAAACTAATGTTGTACACGGAGTTTTTAAATGACTGAAATATGTTAGTTTCTCCATGTTTGGTTCACTTAGAGGTTGTAGAGTTAACTGTTAAAACTGCCAGATGTGTACAGATGAAGGGGGAAAAAAGATTTAACTCATTACATCAACTGTCAGTAAACACTTAAATAAAATAATAATACAACAGAGGGACATGAAAATGTTTAATGACGTTTGGTCAACTGAAGTCTGCGACATGTGATGGAATGAACCATGTAGCCTGGCCAGAGGGGGGTGTGCACCGCTCACTGTTTAACTCTGGGAGAAACGGTGAGTATGAAAAAGGAATATCTTGTTCCATATTATAACGACAAGCAGATTGAATGATGATACCATCAGAAAACAGGCTTCAGCTTTTGTTTAAAGCCAGATCACCGAGGGTTCAGTACGAACATCCCCCTAAAATGCATCACGTACGATCAGTGAATAACTAACTCAGGTTGAAACTCAGCGTTCAGCTGTAGTTTATAAAGAAAGATGTTGAAGTTATTTATAGTTGGTTTTATTCTATTTCGTCGCGTAGCATTTCCAGGTAATATCTGATTTCTATATATATTATACTCTATCTGTTCTGTCCTGTCTGGATGTGACGTATTTTAACACCCCGTTTTAAAGAGCAGATTTATGCACATGCAAGAGAAATTTATTCCTTTTTCTTGCAAAAAGTAATCTAATCTGAATTATAGAACATTTCTTCCCTTCCTCTCCCTCTAGATATATCACTAAACATTAGGATGTGATTGCTCTTGACTGCTATACAAGCAATAAATAGCAGGTTGCTCTTTAACCATATTAGCATTAACCTCAAATATGTCAACAAGAAAGGTAACACTAGCAGTTTATGCTAATCCTCTAACACTGGCAAAATTAATTAATTATTAAAAAAAAAATAAAAAAAAAAATACGGATCTAATTTGCTACGTGTACATTTCGGTGTGTTGTAGAAATATTGTAAATCAATTAGTTTATTGACTACCAATTACCAATAATCTCAGATTGGTCTCTCCGTATTTACATATTCAAATTGCCCGCTGAGTTCTTCCGGTAACTGGCTTCCGTGTATCACGTGACCACCAAGCGTCCTGGATCCATCCCACACCGTTATGGGAAGTTCGGCTCTTATCAAAGAACTTTTCGGCTTCAGCAGTTTCCCTGAGGTTTCCCCCAAAGGGATCAACAAAGTTCTATTCTATTCTGTTCTATTCTATTCTGTTGTTGCACGGCTCCCAAAGAAGAGCGTCTCTTTCGGCTCCCAAACGGCTTTTAATTTATTATCATCTGCAGCCTCATATTTTAGCCTAACTTGGCAAATATGAATGCTTTGTGTGTTGATAAACCCTTTTGAATTTGGTGTTTTTATGAAAAGCTTTATAATGGCCTCATTTTGTGTATATTCATGTTACAAAAGCAGGCATTCTTACGTTAGTTTAATATTTTAATCAAACTTTTAATCTTAATTTAACATGAAAACAAATGAACAAAACACTGCAGACAAACCCACAGAACAGAAACAGAACAGAACCAGAACAGAAACAGAACAAAACTCAGTTCAAACACCAAACAGTATGTCCTCAGTGCGGGTTTGCATTAAAAAAACAAATAAATGTCTCAGCTTGGCTGGGCACACCTGATGGGGCAGGTGCAGTTCGGCTTTAGAGGGAAACCGCCTACATTGCGACATAGGAAAACCAAACAGTGCAGAAACAACGACTCCCACCATCTGAGAGGCGAACACGGTATTTGTGACTTTCAACTTTTGTTTGTTTCATATTTGTTTGTAATATTTGTCGTCGTGCTTTTGTGTGGAAGGTTTGATGCGTTGCTGATGCAAGCTGACATATTTTGAACTATCTATCGTTGGAGACTAGCTTGAGAGACCAGTCCGTCTAATGAGAGATGCTTTTATACTTAAATATAATAGACATAACAAAAATAAATAACGGGCTGAAAGGTGGCGCAGTTGGTAGCACTGTTGCCTTGCAGCAAGAAGGTCGCCGGTTCGGTTTCTTTCTGCGGGGAGTTGCATGTTCTCCCGGGGCAGCGTGGGTTCTCTCCGGGTTCTCCAGCTTCCTCCCACAAGGTCCAAAAACATGTTGAGGTTAATTGGTGATTCTAAATTGTCCGTAGGTGTGAATGTGAGTGTGCTTGGTTGTCTGTCTCTAAGTGTAGCCCTGTGATAGACTGGTGACCTGTCCAGGGTGTCCCCTGCCTTCAGCCTGAGTCAGCTGGGATAGACTCCAACCCCCCAGTGAGGATTAGGTGGTGTATAGATGATGGATAACAAACAACTGAACAATGTATATTTAAAATGTTTTTTTGTTTTTTTTGTATTTCATTTATAGACTGAGGAGGAAGTAAATGTTCACAAGACATGACATGTAGTCACATTCCTTAAGAGGCTCCAGGACTTCCTAAAAGAAGATGAAGAAATTATTTGCTTTGCTCCTCTTCTGTCACGTTGCATGTGGAGGTAAGATCACAGAGTATCAGATACTTGCTGAGGGCTGTACTACGAAGCAAGTTTGACACAGCCAGGCTTTCTTTGTGTCAGCCGACACAAGACAAAAGCCCCAGCCAGTGATTACGGGTATCATGAAGGTGGTTATCAATGCAAGACAGAACTGCTGATAGAACACTGTTAAACATGCTAGTACATAATATTTTACCAATGCAGCCGCTTATTTCCAACTGTAGACTGTATAAGAAATTCCTTATACAGTCTGTGTTTCCACACGACGGCTGCACGTTAAAGTTCAACTTTAAACTTCATATATTTAAACCTGATCTTGTGCTGAAGTGCATTTAGGTCTGACACTGTCCCATAATGCAGGATATCACTTTCATTTTTGGCCAAATAAAAGCAAAACTAATGTTATTGATTGAATATTCTTTGTAATAAATACCAGTAGAATAATCCATTTTCTAATCTGTGTTCTATCAGCTGCAGTACCAGCAGTGGAAACATATTTATGTGATTTCTGCATCACCAACTGAATACAGTCTGGTTCCCAGGCCAACACAATATTTACAGTAACTACACGGTTTCATTCAGTGACATTAGTGACGCACAACTCAGCATGTTTACAGATAAAACACATTCCCTCAGCTGAGAATCTGTGTCGCTGATACATAATAGTCAGAAAGTGGTTTGGTTAAAGGGAAACGCTCTTTCCAGCCGTGTTAAAGTCTGAAACTCTGAACATAACCTGCTCCCGATAAGGCTAGCGCCACAGCATCAGTTACCATGGAGATCCAGTCAGGTAAAAAGAGGGCCACCTTCGTGACACTGAAAACACTGACTTTAAGCTCAGCATACCTCAACTAACCCACCTATCTCGCTTCAAAGTACAGCCCTCTGGTGCTGCTGTTTGTTGGTTTGGTTGTTATTGTCTGCAGAGCGCCCAGTGCTTATAGTTTCACTTCACTTTTTAAAGTCTTACAAGTGTCTGAACAGACAGATTCAGCCTGACATGAATCTATTCAATGTTGACTCATGCTTGTTAATGATGTTGTTTTTATATCGTCTGTAAGTCGATGCTTTAAAGACGACACATAGCAATTCAATTTGACCTAATTGTAGTATAGCACAAAGTAATACTTTTTTGTAACTTGTATAATATGTGAGAGTAATATCTGTTACATGCATTAGGTGCAGAATATTTAATAATGAAGAGGGAGAGTGTTATCCTATGTGAGCTTTGGAAATCAGGTGTGTGTCATGTTCAGGTCGCTGTTTGGCAAGAGGCTGAGCTGAAAGGTCAAAGAAGAAAGATTGTTCTGACATTATTTCACAACATGTTCTCCCTTAACTTAAATGCACTTGATCCACTGATGTTAAAGCATTACTATCCCTATGCAGAGGAAAGTCACATCTTGAGCCTCCAGATGCTTAACAGCATGCATGATTTCATCATCACTCTAAAAAAAAACAGTGACCACGCAAGCTTTCTGTTTAGGAAACAGAGAGAAGTCAGACGGTGCAGGATGGACGGACTCATTGTCCTGGAGAACAGCAGCCAGCTCCAGCACTGTTGCCTCGTTGCAAGAAGGTCGCCGGTTCGCGTCCCGGTGGGGGCACCGGGATCTTTCTGCG